TCATTTCTCATTCAGAGCAGGAAGAAAACTTAAACGTGGGTCAAAGGTGGTTAATAGGCTAGAAATCATTTGATGTAAGCGCCTTTGATGTGCTGTGCAATGTTGTAGATGAACAAGTCACCTTTTGGAGTTTTTCTTTTCTTATTCCCCTGAAGGACGACAACGCCTGTGTGAAAAACCAAAAAAAAAGCATGTGTTGCTGCATTGCCAGGGGTTCAAGGAGATTGGATCACTTTTTGTTTGTGGGAGCGGCCTCAATTCAGCTTCCACATAAAGAGCGAGAGACTGGGAGCGGACTGAGAGAGAGCAGTCTTTGTGAGGTTGAAGGAAAGTGTGGATAAATAAAAAAAAAATGGCTTGGTGCATCAGTTTTCTCTGATCCCGACTTAAACTATAAATGTATCTTAGAGATGAGCTATCTGTGCCACAAGCAGGCTCCTTTTCTTTCCCCTCTGTCTCTGTGATGAGTTAGCAGGACCTGCAGTGATAAAGCTGATAGAAAAGGGCCCGCTATCAGGTGGCAGTCTGGGTAATTACAACTCTCCATTTGGGGCTTTGCAGCGATGCAGTGGGGATAAGGGAGAAAATAATGAGGAAGAGAAAGACTGGTGATAATATATCTCCTAAATTGTTCAAATGGGTCCATCATGGGAAAAGTCATCTTGTAGCCTGCAGGTAAACAGAAACACAGCCGGGAACTGAGCACATACTGAACACGTCAATAGTTTTCTCACCCAATAAAAAGTTAAACTGTTTTCAACGTTTTTCACAATTTCTCATTTACTACATAATTAGAAGGACTTTTGTCTCATGGTTTTGGTGTATTTACAGAGCATATGTATATAAAGAAAAACCATTGAATGACAGGTGTGTCCAAACATTTGACTGTTACTATATGCAGATTTGAATATGAACTTCACGGGGCTTTCACTAACAAACCAAGTCAAACACATTAAAAAATAAAGGGATGTTAGTGTAGTTAAGTTTAATGAAGAGGGAAGAATCAAGAAATAGGTGTTCAACAAATTATGAAAGGCAGCTGTAAAATGACATTGAAAACCAAAAAAATACAGTATTTAGAAAGCAACCTTACCTCTGCTAGTTAAATGCCTACAAAAAGCTCTTTTATTTGAAAGGTACAACTCAAGGTGCTTATTATGATGGCAGACAGAGAAGATAATCTAGTCAGATCCAGATTAGAATCTCTTGCAGGAAGTGAAGATTATAGTGCATCAAAGAGGCCCCTGGAACATTCAAGACGTGAAGACAATTTAGGCGAGAGAATTTGTAAAACATTACAATTACTGAACAATGCATGTAACTAGTTTTTCTATACAAGTTATTTCTTGTATGAAATAAAATTTTAGTTTTTGTTTGCAATTCCACTTTATTAGCAAAATTGATAGACCTATTTGTTTTGTTTTTTTGTATGTGTGGATTCCTTGGATAGTTACAAACATGTGTTAGACGCCTATGTGAGTAGCCCCTTTAGAAATGTATTTACTGAGATAAACGATATGTTCTATACACATTCTCCCCAATGCATGCCCCGTGGGCGGCGTCAGTGATCACAGTTCAAAAATCTGACTTCTCAAAGGCTAGGAAAGGCCGTTACTGTTATTTTTCTCTCTAATGATACAGCAAGCCATTTGATTGCTACTGCTATTTTGTGTGCCCCTCAGGGTGCAGAGATATTCTGCAGTGTGAGATTACGTATAATACTATGACAAGCAGCGGTTTAAAGATGAAGGTCTTATCAGCCACAGCGGACTCGCCGTGCTTCTGTGTTGCCATTCTCCTTTGGTAATGTGCTTTCAAAGTTTGTTGTATCTGTCAGTTCAGGTCCTCGAAGACTCAGCTGACAATCACTCCTCTTCTCTCACCATCATTCACAAACACACACATGCACACCTACACAGCCCTCGGGCCTATTTGCCTCTTCTAGTCTCCGATGTGTGATACACACCACTGTTATGTTGTATCTGTGCACAGCTGCGTGTTTCATTGTGAACTGCAGCTTTCCTCACCAAGGGATCATGACCACTATCAATAGTATTTCTACTAATGTGATTAACTTAATACTGCGCTCTATGAGGGGATTATATCTCAATTCCTCTTGATATGCATAATATTTAGGTTGTGGTTGAGTAAATATTTTGGTTCTTCACCAAAAAAATTCCCACTGAGACAAAGACACACAATTCTGCCCTAAGGAGCAATAAAGACTGTATAATTAGACTGATTAAAGAGCTGCACAACTCATTTGGCACTCATTGAATATATTTTCAGAACACAACCTTCAAAATAGGTCACATATTTAGACCACAAAAAAAAAAAACTTTATTCACATTAATACGTTTATATGTGATACATTCGGTGTGACTCATTTGAAGTGATGCTGAAGTCGCCATTGTCTCCCTCAGCAATCCCTTCATAATGTTGCCTTGCACTTAAGCACGTTTTCTGTGTATTGTAGCAGCCTTAAAGACACCTCATTAGACAAAATGCCACCTAATTTAAATACATTTATCTATAAACTGTAATCAATTGGAGCGTTTTACAACCTTAAACTGTTTGTCATTAACACTTTATCAAAGGGAGATAGGGAGACTTGGAGCATAATGGTGCATGATGGTGACACAGAGTGGCTTTTCAGCGTGCACTGCATCATGCAGTTAAATATATTAAGCATTGGTTTATTTCTTCCTTTCAACATAAATTTACTTTGTAAATAAAAACAAGCTTGAGTAATGAAGTACGTATTGACACAGTAGGTTTTCACGAACTGCAAGGGCTTAAAAAGATGTAACCCTGGTTTACTTGTATCAAGCTCGGTAACATCACTAGACACTCAAAAACAGAACTGATCAGATGGAATGAGGCATGGACTAGTTACCCAGATATCAAGATATACCAAATATTTAAAACACAAAGTATAAAACCTGTTTGAATAATTCATCATTGCCCCTACCCCACCTGTTTCTGTGCACTGATTGATAGCATATTAACACAACAGACAATTTTGGCTGTTCAGAAATGTGTTTTTAAGACAGCCTTTTATAATTTGTCACCTAAAGGAGAACTGTCCACTTTTGAAACTAAAACACATAAATATGAGTTATCAAATATGAGTTGTAGTCAACTTATGTATAAAGACATTATATAGGTACCCTTACTAGAATAGAAAACATTGTTTTCTTAGAAGAAGTGTAATAGTTTTTGCATTTTGGCTTGGAATAAAATACATTTTATTTTGTAAATAGCTTAGATTTGTGGTATTTTTATTTATACTAGTCCATACATACGTAGCTTTCATTCATAAAAATTCATTTTGAGTGAGCAACATTCAACAGATTTGACAAACAATTTCAAGCATTTGGGTTTTAGCGGCTGTGATGTTCTACCTTGAAGGTTCCAGTGGGAATCTTTACATCTAGGATCCCAAAAAAATGATGGCTGCAGCTGCAAACAGAGAGAAGCATCAATAGCTAATGACAATAATAGCAATAAGGAAATCTACTGTTTGAATTCATAGTATTATTATTTTGGTGTTTGTCAAACTTATGAACTACCATGAATATCTCCCTCTCATAAAATCATTTAATGTTTTTTTTTTTTTTTTTTTCCTGTGTGACCTTAAACGCTTAAGGGATTTACTGCAGGAGTAACACTGCATGCAGTATGAAGATTTTTTTCCTTCTAATCACCAAATGTTTTCCCCTTACTTCTTTCATCTGGCTTTGGTTGGAAAAAATAAAAAATCATAAACTGTAGCGTAGGTTCAAAACTGAAAGGATTGAACTCAGTATGGTCAGCTGAGAGATCTGCAGAACTTCATTGGAAACTTGGAAATCAACATCATGAAACGCAAGTTTAATGAGATTTCTTTTCATCAATAACCCACTGTTAAAAAGTGATTGTGGAAACTCATTGAAAATGAAATATGGATAATACAATATGCTATATGAGCCATGATGTGTTTTTACATAAGGTACTTTTTGCTGCAGTTTGCAGAATAGAATGAAAGACACTAATGGAGAGGGAAATTGATTAAATCTATTTAAAAACAACAAAAAAATTTAATATATATAGCACTGTGATCATTTGAATGATGTAAGAGTAACAGTTTTTTAAAGACATATATGATTTTTTTTTAATAAAAAGAGAAAGACAATTGGAAAGTCTGTTCTGCCGCTAAACTATGTAAAGTGAGTTTTAGTCGATTTTTACAGAAAGGTCTGATTAACAGCTTTAAAGTTTGGTAAATGTATTTAAAATGCTTTGATTTTATTTGCCTAATTGTTATAAAATAGGTAGCAATATAATGGGAGGATGAATCATTGCTTAAACATTATTATAATTGTATTTTACTATATTTGCATTCATCTTTTGTTTATTGATGTTCATTTCTGAATATTTCTTTCATCTTAGAATCAGCCATTAGATCAGGACTGGTCTTTGCAGGCAAACTGATCTTAAACAAACTAAAAAAAAAGGGAGGTTAACCACTTTTTCCTCCAATTTCCCTGTCTACTCAGCCTCCAGTGGGGCAGCAGCTAAGGAGGAAAAGGGGAAGAGAGAGGCAGAGCTGTGATCAGGCAAGCAGAAAGAAAAACCTACATCAGGTACACAATCAGGACCCCTCCCTCTTCCTCTTCTTACAAAACCTCCCCTGCTAATGAGCCAACTTTCATGTGGCAGTAAATACTCCCCCAGCTTTGTAGGGGTTTGAAGTGCCAAACACCAGATATTGTTGTTTACTCTGTCTTCTTTTTTCATAGTCAAAGAAAAGCCATCAGATAGCAAGAGGTCAAATCCTGTTCCCTTGAAATCAATGTATTCCCACACCTGATTCCTCTTCCTCCTCCTGCAGGAGGAGAATGAGAGCTTGTGAAGGATGGGGAGGTAAGTGAACATCCCACAATATTTTGTAGAGCATTCAATGCACAGACTGGGATTATCCAGGGACCCCTCATCAACTTTCTTCATAATTTACTGTGCTTTCTCCAACACTTTGGAGGAGTGTTGAGTTGAATAAAGTGCTAGCTGCTATCATTGAGACTCTGGCATCTCCAGGGGACCCTTTTAACACAGTGATGGCTTTAGAGCTTTAGTGTGAACTGTGTGCGATCAGTCCGAGGAAAGGAAAAAGGTCCCCATGGGCTTGTTGTGGCTGCTGCTGTCTGCTTTCTATTTGCATGATATTCCCCCCCACACACATTTTTTTTCCAGCCTTATCAACCCTTGGCTGTGAGGAAGGGAGCGCTGGCTGCCGTTTCAGAGGTTGGACCCAAGCTTTATCAGCAGGTAATTTTACCTCTCTCAAAAACTCATGTTGAATTATTTAGGTGTTATTTCTATGAGTCATGTGTGTAAACAGGTGCTTGTATAGGGAGGTGTGAGGTTGGGAGGGATAGCAGTTTTTTTTTTATAGATTCTAATTATTAAAAAATAAAAGAAATGATTGTGATTCCTTATTTAAACTACTAGATAAGGGTTTGGAAAACAATTGCATAATTATTATCATGTCTATCTTATTTTGCTATGTATAGGTATGTGTTTTAGTAAAAAAACAAATATTTTAATGTTTAACCATTAGGCAACATTTTCTGCCATATTGCTCAAAATATTATAATCTTGAGCACTGATTGGATGGAAGTGACAAACCCATAGAAACAAGATATAAAACAGATCTATCTTTAAATATAGGAAAGTCAAAATTAAATTCCTTTTTATTTTTAATGGTAGTGATAATATTGTGAAATAAATCGGATCTTTAATTTTACCTATTAACACATATTTAAACTCCTCATGGGTTCTAGTCAAAACCTAATCAGTACCAGATTAAGCAGATTTAGAGATGCAATTTTTTTGTGTTACAAAATAAAAGATAAAAAACATTTTTCTTTAATTTTGAGAGCTGTACATAAAGCAAGTCTAAACGTTGAGGTAATGATGTAGGGCGGATCTAACAACTAACCAGTCCCACAATATCGCTTTATCAATTTGCGAGGGAAAGTCAGAGTAAATTAATAAATAAATGTTAACATTTGATGAGTAGAAAATACACTGGATATCGCATTTCAATCAATTTGGTCCAGACTTAAGATAAAAGGCCTATTTTTTTATCAGCATAAATGACAAAGAAAAACATTTCTATTAGTATTATTTTTTAAATAAAACTGAATTCAAAAAAAAAGCGAAGTGGAGTTTGTAAAAAAAATAAAAATAAAAACTAAAAAAAAAAAAAAGAGAGAGAAAAGAACCTGCATGAGGTAGCCTATACATGTTTGCACTGCACACACTTGTAGTCCGATAAAAACTTTCATCACTGCAAAGCGACTGCGCATGCAATTGTGTTTGCACGCTTGTGTGATGAGAGACTGCAGCCTCCTGCCGAAGGAGTGGACCGCTTCTCTGAGGAATGTTATCGGAGGGCTGAATGACAGAAACAGGTTGGGGGGCCATGGAGGCGCGTTGCTGAGAGATGCTCGGGTCGCATTTGAGAGAAGCAGGTCTGTCTTTCATCGTGGCCCTTTTTGTTATTTTGGCGCGGATCTTCTTCACCTTGTCAGGTTTCCTCTCTACACAAAGATGCGCTGCAATAACCCACCTCCCTAAATTCTCTTTACCGGATTTTTTTTTTTTTTGGAATCCTCATTTAACCTTTCTCATTTAAAAAAATATATATTTTTGCATACTTAATAATGCAAACAATAATAAAATGCAATGATCAGGGCAGACCGTTAAAAAGGGACAAGTGAAATGTATTTTATATCATAATTTGAGCGCACAACCTGCAGCTTAATTTGTCATTTATAATATTGCTCAATGCCGTTTCTTCACTTCTTTGGCACATATAATATGCACAACAGGAGAAGGTGGCAGAACAAGCCACTTAAAACCTACAGTTTGTGCAACAGGTCCCGCAGATAGCTGTAATTGCTTAGTTGAATATTGGACAACCTCATTTCCAGTAGTCGACTCGCTGCCCTTGGGAAGGTCCTTTGAAGTGAACGTGGAAATGGGAGGGATGGGGGGGATTTCAAGAAAGTAATTAATTTTAACCGAGCACGATTAGAAACACTCCAAACCTCCTTAATATTTTTCTTATTTATTACGTGAAAGTGAAATAAAAGACATTATCAGAATATGAAAGAGCGCATTCTTTACCTTTTTTTTTTTTTTAAAGGGAGCTCCATCCACCAGGAAGGGAAGACACCTTGATTATGAGATGCAAAGAATGTAAAGATGATTCTAATCAATTAAGATATATGACATAATTATGTGATACTTATGCTTTATTAAATAAAGGGACGCAATTGACGCTCATAAAAAATAATGTATTGTTGAAAAAGAAAAACAAAATGTCCACGGATAACCATGGACTTAGTCAACAATCTCTACATAAAACAACAACAAAAAAAGGATAAATATCTCAGAGAGGTGTATTCAGAAAGTCACAGAGAAATTAAAAGGAGAAAAAAAAATCAAGGGTCTGAGGCTAATGCGCATGCGTGAGCGCCACTTTCACTACCTGCCACACACAATCCGGTATTTCACATGGGGCAAGCGGGAGCTGTCATCCACTTGTGTATAACGCTGCTGGTGCGCGTTTAGACTGACAGTCTCAGGCGACAAGCAGAGAACAGGACGCTCTTTTCTTATTTTCTTTTCCTTATTATCGTTTTTCACTAAAGGCACATCACTTGGATGGTACTATGACGCTGGAAACATTTGAGCGCTCATAAGGACGCATAAACTTTGAGATTTCACAGGACAATCCACGGGTGGGATGAAGAATTAAAGTCTAGAGTAAGTAATAATGCCAGTTTAAAAGAACATCTTGACTACGTTTCTGCTTTTTTTTAAAAGTTTTTCTTCCAGTTTTGGCGAGTTCTTCTAACTTTTATTATATGATATGCTCTTTCATAGAGAGTTTGTGGCAGGATGTCTAAACCAATGGATCACGTCAAACGCCCGATGAACGCCTTTATGGTCTGGTCCAGAGCCCAGCGCAGGAAAATGGCCCAGGAGAACCCGAAGATGCACAACTCTGAGATCAGCAAGCGGCTGGGAGCGGAGTGGAAACTTCTCACCGAGTCCGAGAAAAGGCCGTTCATTGACGAAGCCAAGCGGCTCAGGGCGATGCACATGAAGGAGCATCCAGACTACAAGTACAGACCGAGGCGGAAGCCTAAAACTTTGATGAAGAAAGATAAGTTTTCCTTCCCGGTGCCGTATAATCTCGGGGAGCACGACGCGCTCAAAGTTAGCGGACTTTCCGCCGGCGCGCTTTCCGAGTCCGTCATTGGAAACCCGGACAAAGCGGCTGCGGCTGCGGCCGCCGCAGCTGCCAGGGTCTTCTTCAACCCCTCCATGTCTACGAACCCCTACTCGTTTTTCGACCTGGGATCCAAGATGACCGAGCTTTCCCCTCCTTCGTTTCCTTACGCGTCTCCTCTGGGCTACCCGCCGGGAGGCGCGTTCACCGGGACCGGAGGAGTGGGCGGTGGGACGCACACCCATACTCACTCTCATCCATCTCCGGGTAACCCGGGCTACATGATCCCATGTAACTGTACAGCCTGGCCCTCGGCGGGGCTGCAGCCGCCCTTAGCCTACATCTTACTGCCCGGAATGGGGAAACCTCAGCTTGAACCTTATCCTGCATATGCTGCGGCGTTATGATAGTCCCGCTTCAGAAAGGTGACTGATTTGTCCATGCAAGATTTTTTTTAAGTTATGCATGCAAAAAAAAAAGAAGAAAAAAACAAAAACTTGTACATGTGATGAAGTGCTCGTCCTCTCAAATATCACATGTTTATGTACATTGATTAATGCCTTTATCTAAGGTAATGCTTATTTTAGAGAACTCTCTACTCCATATTGTCCAGCCAAGAAGATGACTGAACAAGGAGCACGGATTTAAGCTATTGAGCATCTTTTTCAACTGCAGGACAAACCTGTTGGAATCATGACCAACTTGTCACCCCCCTCCTCTCATCAGGACCACAACTGTTTACTTTCAGATGAGGAGAGGGTGGGGGGATTAGTGGATCAATGAGGAGGACTGCCCCAACACTGTAAATGTAAATGTGTACAGATCCCAAAAATGACTTAGCTTATTTGCCGTTATAGGCTTTAGTGTTTGAAAAACTCCAGTAGAAACACAGTGTATATATTTTGAGTTTTTTTTAAAACTGTTTTATAGATGTCTGTGATATTTATTGTTTTAGTGGAATCTATGGTAAGCCAGACAATTAAAAAAAGGAGATTTGCACATGAAATTCAAAAGATGTAATTTATTTCAAAGCTTTCTTTTTTTTAAGTGGGGGGTAAAAAAGTTTGGAAGGAGTTGGAGATTTATTATTTTTTCCACTTCCCACTCCTTGTCATGTGCAGCAAGAAAAAAAGGAGTTCCTTTTTAACTAACTCATATTGAATTTGTATGTTTTGTGTTTTCCTTTAACATCCCATTATGTACATCAAACTATTGTTGAGCAAAAGGACTACAATAAAACCTATTCGGATTAAATGGAAGGGAAATGCAGACTGTATAGTTCTTGATGAGATGAACAAGATTGGTATCTTTTCTCTTTTTTTCCCTACCTCCTCCTGCTCCTGCCTCCTCAGTCCAGCCCAGGTGAAGTGTAAGGTATCCTCCAAAGGCCGCTTTTGTCCGCACGTTGAATGGCAATACAGGGTAGGGGGGTGGATGAGGGGGGAATCTAAATAAGCCCATTGTTATCAAGAGCCAAAACCTTATTTATCACAATTTTAATCGGAAGATGAAACTGTTTGCTGCTCTAAGCTTTCGTTTCCCATGCAGGGAGAAAAAAAAAATCTGGAGAAGACGGTGGGAATCAAGCTTCTCTTTGCAGCTCTACATTAACCGGAGTGTGAGAGGAAAAACAAAATAGGTTTAATTTAAATTAAAGTGTGCACCACAGGGTGTGTGTGTGTGTGTGTGTGTAAGGGAGAGTGTGTGAAGCAGGTGGGCACTGTTTGAATCTCTCAGCAACATGTTAAGAATCAATCTGAAGTGAGCTGCCTCTTCTAGATTACACTGAGAGATTAATTCATAAGGATCAGAGCGATTATGCAAAACTAATTTGGACAGTCCAGGGATAATTATCTCCGACACGGTTAATTAAACCTTTTCAGCACTTTGCTCTCCATTGTGACATCTCGATCCCTTCTCTCCATGGAACTTCCTCCTCCTTGGCCCCTATAAGGATGCACAGTCCAAGCTTTCAGTTTATTCTAAGGCCTAAAAAGTAGAGAAGTGGCTACTTGTGTGTGTATATATATATATATATATATATATATATATATATATATATATATATATATATATATATATATATATATATATATATATTTGAGTGTGTTTCTGCCTTGGACAGTTTTTGTCCAAAGTATATATACATAAGGCATTTTCCTGTTTTATATCCCCCTCAAACATATATAGATATATAGTGTTGATAAACTTTAAACTTATTTTATTTTACAACTTTGATTTTTCAAAATGTTCAATTTAACACCCTAAATCAATAAAAGCTAAATGTTAGAATTTATCTATTGAAGTTGCTGTAATACCTTTTGTAGAACTGATTTGTGCTACATGATGCTTGAATAAAACTGTTACATTCAAGTAAATTTTTAAAACTGTAACTAATTCATTAGTTAAATTTCAACTAATTTAGATTACTATATTTGGCTCTCTGTTATAGAGATGAAAAACATAGGAATTTGTTTGGTTATTTGTCAAAACACAACAAATATGTCATGAAATGTGGCTTATAAACCTTTTTTTACTGGCCCTTTTCCTGACTAATTGACAACAGTCTCAGAATTGTTGCTATACTTAATAAAAAAAATTTTTTGTATCATATTAAAACTAAATGAGATGAAAAATATTCTCTGTAACTATCACAGCTAAGATGTATTGTTCATTTACTTAGATTGATGTCAAGTTTGTCTTTTGCATTAGCACTGTCCCTAAACTTGGACATCTTTATACAAACGTATATTTTTGCTACAAAAACTCCTAAGGCTAATTGTTCTCGATATTTTCCAACCTGTTGCATTCATTAAACATGTGCAAATATGAATATATTACTCTTAACTGCAGGAGAAAGAAACCTGACTGTATACTTTTTCAGTTAAATCACAATCAAAATGTTTCAGAGGAATGTGTTACCAAATTTAAGTAAATATTAGAATATCCTCATCGTTGAAGAGGCTTTTGAAATTGATGTCTTTGGTTAAACCTAAAATAAAATAAATTACTAATATTCAACATCTTCCAAAATGTAGTTTTATGGTGTAAAGGTAAGTTGGATAACAACTTCTGCACTTTTTTTTCTCTTTCTTGTCTTTTTAATTTTCTTAAGGAAAAGGGGGGGAAAAAGCTGAAAGAAATTCTTTTTCCCCCCAGCTCTGGGAGCGTTTAGATGGTCGAGGAGGTTTTGTCTGGGAACAAAACATGGGTTGGGAGGTTTTTGTGAGAGTGTTGTTTGTTGAAGTGGAGCTCTGCAAAAGCGGCTGCTTTCCCTCATTGTGATGAAAGCAATCAGTGGTATTTGGAAAACTGTTAGCATTGTCCACTTCTTCTGTGTCCATTGTGGAGGATTTCTTTTCACAAGGTTTTTTTTTCTTTTTCACCCGATCCAGCTGGCCGGAGTGAATAGCGGTGCAATGTGTACACGCTTTGTCCCCCCGAACCCTTCAAGTAGCCCATGTTGAATGGAGTGAGTTGACACTGCATGACAGTGAAACAACATAATAAAAAATACATGAGCACATGAATGGAGGCAGGCGCATAAATAAATAAAATGGGTGGCCAAAACTGGATAAACTGAATGACAAAACGGTGAAAGGGGAACAAAAAGATATTTAACACGCTAGATTAGCATTAGAATGCAATCTACAAGCCAGAACAATTGATGAATGGGTTTACCGGCCAAGAAAGAAATGGACTAAATGCCTTTTGAATAGATAGGCTATGTTTTTTCTTTTCTTTTCCCTTTTTTTGGGAGGGGGATCTGGGAACCAAATTGGAAAGGTAGAGATACAACTATGGAAAAGTTTAACAAAACTTTAAATCAAAAACAGATCTGGAAAAACATTTTCATGAGAACAAAAATTAAATCCATGCTAATAACATCATGTTTGAGGTTCAAATAAATCATATATCTTCTACAACACTAGAATAAAGTTATATTATCTGATTCATTAAATTGTACATTCTTACATTTTGATGCCAATAGATTTTTTTTATTTTCTTGCATACTTAAAAGCAAACCATATTTTAACATAGCTCAACAGACAATGAGAAGAAGTTGCTTTATGTGTCTACACATCTGGATATATCTAACAAGCTGTAATTATTTACGTTTTAATCAGGATTTAACTAAAGATTTCCTTACTGCAGTGGGAATTAAATTTACTTTTAAGGAATTATGATTATATTTCTGGATATAATTCCTTTTGATTGTTCCAATTAAGATAATGTTTATTAGATATGTATATTAACATTTTTTACTACAATGCTTTGAAAGGCATTTAGAAAATAGAAAAACAATCATGGCTTAGAAATCACACCTAGAAATAAATCCCTATGCACTGCAAATTTACAAATATGACTAAATGGCCACAGACTATTCATTCAGTTATTTCAAGGTAAAAAATCTCTCTAAAAACATTTGCTGTGCGACAAAAACAATAAAATATTGGTGTCACACTTTTAACACAATGCAGGGTTTTCAAACCCCTACCTGGCTGTAAACACAATTGGCTTTAAAACTATTTAACATGTGTCATAGATGCGCTTTCACCAAAAAGGTGCAACATTTTTTTTTTCTCAAATTAACAAAAATCTATATTTACTGTATACTTTTTTATGTGTTCTTCTTTTTGAACCAACAGTCACTATGAAGGGTTTTTCATCCGATTAAAAGCGACGGCTGCCTCATGTTTTTAAAGCCGACTGCCTGATGCCCTGATATCATTATATCTCAGTGTTAAACCCTTTATGTGCCTGTAAGACATTTGTAGAAGTGAGATTAGGCAAATTAACATACATATGTATCACCAGTTCAACCATGTTGACCTCGGAGGGATGCACAATAGTTTGCTCATCCCTAATTCGCCGGAGGGCCAACCCCTGGAAACTGGTGGATTACCTGGTTTCAATGGCCTGAGATAGATCATTTCTGTATTTTTTTTAAAGACATGAATAATACATCAATATCATTCTGTTTGAGGATGTTTTCTCAGTTTATTTGCAGAAGTCTGCTCCTTGCTCACCTGGCTGTCATGTGTGTGGAAGTGTGTGTTAAATGCTGGAAGACATACAGCCAGCGCTGGCCTCTCTGCAAGGAACCTCAAAGAGTCTGATCACTGACTCCTCCATCTCATTTTAGGCAAATCAAAGTGTGAAAAGTCTTTCCTGAAGCAATATCTCCATCATCAGGTTGGGTCAAGAATGTTTATGAAGGCTGTGTGTCATATTACCTGTAATCTCCCAAGTCTGAACCGTTGTATTTCTTACTTTCTCTATGCTCCCAGGAGGGGGAAAAAATGCCAAAATTATCTTGCATAGCACCTTTTTCCGCAACACCTCAACATGGCAAATCAAAGCCTCAAAACCATACATGTCGCTGTGCCCAAGGTCACCGGGAGAAATGAGAAATCTCTGTGTACTGTACAGTCCACCCCCATAAACATGCCACACAGTCCTCTGAAGTCTGACTCCGCTTTAAAGAGAGTCCAAGTTTGTTTAATAGCACATAATGCAATAAGTCGATGCACCCGCACTAGAGTTCAGAGAGGGAACGCTTGAATTAGGTTTGGGGGCAAGAAGGTGGATGGAGAGGAGGGGCTGCTGAGGTGAGTTCTGCAGGTGAGACGGATGTACTGACACAGTGTCTAACAGAACATCAGGCTTAACACTTTTGAAGTCAATTGCTTTGGCAACAATTTTTTTGCTGTAACTTTTCTAAAGATCTAAGAGGCACCTTTATTATTAGTAGGAGATTTTTGTGGCCGACTAAACCTGAGTAAATCTTTTTTTCATATTTCACTGCAGTGTGTGAAAACATTTAGATAGATTCAGACTGGACATAAGATTTTTTTTTGTGCCTAAATGCATGCATTTTTAAAATAGAAATTGTTAAAGTTATAATTTATAGATATCTGCAAAACAACTTGTAAAGATGAGGTCAAAGAAAATGATTTTTACTTTGTACAATCTGAAATATTTGGCTTTTAATGTTCATGGTGTTGTTTTCTAGCGAAGATGATGTCTTGTTCTGTACTATAGTAAATATAGTTTATGGTCTAAAGATATGCTACATTTTTTTTATAACTTCTTTCTTCCCTAAATGTACAGTAAACAATTTTATATTTATTGCATAGGTTTAATTTGTAATATATATATATATATATATATATATATATATATATATATATATATATATAATATTTACAACACAAAAAAGTAATAATATAAGAACATATTTTTAATATTTTAATTTTAATATTTAGCTTTATAAAAGAGGAAACAATTTTAGGGTGTAATGAAGCAGAAATGATGTGGATGTGTGTTGTATCAGTGGTGAATTATAGCAAAAGGAATTAAATTCAAAGTGAGAATCAGATTCTTAGCTTTTTTTTTTTTCCTGGCTCTAAAGCTCCCACTGCTGTCTGAAGGGCCTCATTGCAGCAACACTATGTGTTTAGTTTCAGAGGACTGAAAGTTATTGTAAAAGAAGAAAAAAAATTATATATATATATAACTCACTCAATTACAACTATCTTATGTTTTTGTTGTTTATATGTTTCCTGATCAGTCACTGAAATGATACAGTTGATAACCCAAAAGACGAGGTATGAGATTATTCATTCTCTCTATCCATCAATAAGGATGAATAATGTCAGTGAGCTGCCTTAACAAATGTTTTTTAAACTGACATGACATTTTTTGTTCCATTGCCAAATGACCGCTGGCTGAGATTGCTGGCACTCATATTAATTCTCAGGTTTTCAAGAGAAAAAAAAATCTATGGTATGTAGAAATAATGACGTTGAAGAGCAGATGCCCTCAAGGAAGAGTCACAAAGAATTATATCTGTCTTTAACACAGGACACAGGCGAAAAAAGATAAGTACCTGTCACTTGGCATACTCTCGGCTACATGTGCCTATCAATAAAAGAGATTATTTTCCCCAGTTATTACAACAAAGATCTGCAGGGCTCGGATATTGCACCTTTAATGAGAAGGAATGATTTCCT